GAGACAGGGTTTTACCATGTCTCTACTAAAAGGCCAGGCTGGTCTTGAACTCCTTGCCTCAGGTGATCTGCTCACCTCTGCCTCCCAAGTGTTGGGATTACAGGGATGAGCCACTGTGCCCAGCCTTCTTTTTTGTCTTTAGACAAGCATGCCAGGTGATTGGGGTGCTGGAAGGCTTTTGACTACATTTTTTTTTTTTAAGAGAAATTCATCCTAGAGAGTTGAAATAGTTGTTAACTTACATGCCCGACCCGAATCTTGCACTTAGTGACTGTGCAGTGTGATTGCAGCCTCATGAGGAGGCATCTTTTCATTGCTGCTGTTTGTCCTCCACGTTCTTGTCCCTTAGAAGAACGGCAGGAAGAATGCTACTGCCCCAGGAAAGAAAGTAGGGGAGGAGAAGTCTCTGGCTCCTGTGTTTGCTGAGAAGCTAATATCACCAAGCAGGAGGGGAGCCAAGCTCAAGGACCATGAGAGCTACCAGGAGAATGAAGACAGGAACAGTGAGTTGGACCAAGATGAGGACTTCTCCAGGGGGTTCTTGGTGAGTGTGAGTTAGAGACAAGCTGCTGTGCATGCCATTCTACAGCATTTGGGGAGAGGTTCTGTTAATAATCCATCCCTCTAAAAACTGCGTTGGCAATCCCTGGCTGATTCTTCAGGATGGGCTTCATTGATGGGGAGTCTCAGTGGATGTTTGACCTTTGCTGTCTACCTGACCAAAGTCAGAGGTTTTCTTTTTCTTTCTTTTATTTTTTTGAGACAGAGTCTTTCTCTGTCAGCCAGACTGGAGTGCAGTGGCATGGTGCTCCGCCTCCCAAGTTCAAGTGATTCTCCTGCTTCAGCCTACTAAGTACCTGGGATTACAGGCACACGCCACCACATCAGCTAATTTTTGCGTTTTCAGTAGAGACGGGATTTCACCATGTTGGCCAAACCTTGAACTCCTGACCTGAAGTGATCCATCTGCCTTGGCTTCCCAAGGTGCTGGGATTACAGGCATGAGCCACCGTGCCTGGCCCAGAAGTTTTCTCTTTGAATACTATACATTGATGAGTTCTGTCTTTGTGCTTATGAGCCACACAGATGCCATCTCAGATTTAATTTTCAGTGATTTTTTTCTGTCTTGATGGAGTCTATGTAACATTTAAAATACTGTGGCTACTAAAGAGTAATTCTTACTGTAGTTATTAAAATGCAAGAACAAATCATTTAAAATTATTTCATAATAAAGTTAAAATGAGGCTGGGCATAGTGGCTCATACCTGTATTCCCAGCACTTCGGGAGGCCAGGAGTTCAAGAGCAGCCTGGGCAACATGGAGAGACCTGATCTCTACAAGAAATTAATAAATTAGCCAGGTGTGTTGGCACACGCCTATAATCCCAGCTACTTGGTAGGCCGAGGTGGGAGGATGGATTGAGCCAGGAGATTGAGGCCACGGTGAGCCATGATCTTACCACTGCACTCTAGCCTGTGTAACATAAATGAGACCCTATCTCAAAGTAAAAAGTTAAAGTGACTGAATTTTTTTCTTAGATTTTTGTATACAGCCAGATATAAAAAACCAATTGTTCTCTGAAAGGAGAATTTATCATTCTTAACTAGTCTGTGTAATAGTAATTAATTACTGTTAATTAGGTGGCTTTCCTTGTGATTCTAGGAGGGTAAAAATAAAGCTGGGACCAAAGGTAGGAAAGACCTTCCCATGAGGACTGAAGATGATGAACAGGATGATGACTGGCAGTGACAAAGGCAGTGAGGAGGAGGAGGAGGAAGGTCGCATGACCTGGATCAGCACTGTTAAGCAGTGTGGCCAGCATCAGGGAATGCTAGTTGTAAGTGAAGCCCATCAGAAGGGGCTGTTGCATTTCCTGTATGAATTTAAATAACTTTCTTATTAATTTATAAATGCTTTTAAAAGTACCCTGACCAGACTCAACTGATGAGTCTTGTCACAATTAAGTGTAGCTTTGGAATGATGTTTGTGGGTAGTATAAAAGTTTCCGGAAAGCAGATGATTGATTGCAAATGCAGTGTTCTGGCTTTCACCCACAGAACCTATCAGAGAAACACCTGATAAACGAAGGCAGGAAATGGCCAATCAGAAAAATTCCCGTGGAACCAAAAACCAGAAATTGGAAGGTAACTTATTGGCCGTGGTTTAAAGAACAAGAGATGCATGGAGAATGTCATGTTGGCAGAAACTTAGTCTCTGTTAGCCCAGACGAGCAACAGTGAGATTTGCTACAGAAGCTTGGTGTTATAATAAGCCACAATCTTTAATGGATTTTCTTTTAGTGCTACTTTTTCTGAACTGAGTTCTTTTTTTTTTTTAAACATTTTTGTGTAGCAGCTGAACCACTTGTAGCTTTCAAACTGTTTGTTGGAAACCTGAATTTCAACAAAACTGTTGCTGAACTACAGTCTGGTCTCAGTGAATTTTTTGCTAAAAATGATCTTGAGGTTGTTGGTGTCAGGGTTGCCTTGTTCAGGTAAATACCAATAAATTAAGAAGGTTTTTTAAGAGCTTATCAGCCCAGCACTTGATGTTCGTGGAGAATTGAGGAGTTCCAGTAGCTTTATGCTACTTCATCGTGGCTCGTAGGCTGCTGTCTTCTCAGGTCCTTTTGTTGCCTGCTCTTCACCCTTTGGTGGGATTTTACCTCAGTCATTTGCAGTTCAAAATGAATGTTTAAAATCCTTCAATGGCTCATGCTTGGTAAATCTGTTATATTTAACTTTGCTACCTATTTTCTCAACCAAAATATTAAAATAATCCCAAGATCTTCCAAGTCTTAGAGACAGGGTCTCGCTGTTTTACCCAGGCAGGTCTCAAACTCCTGGGCTCAAGTGATCCTTCCATCTCACCCTCCCAAAGTGGTGGACTTACAGGTATGAGCCACTGTGCCCTGCCTGTTTTTTAAAAATTCAAAAAATTATTATTATTGAGACAGTTTCACTCCATCACCCAGGCTAGAGTGCAGTCATGTGGTCTCAGCTTACTGCAGCCTCTGCCTTCCAGGTTCAAGCAATTCTGCCTCAGCCTCCTAAGTAGTTAGGATTACAGGCGCCTGCCACCATGCCCGGCTAATTTTTATATTTTTAGTAGAGACAGGGTTTAGCCATGTTGGCCAGGCCGGTCCTGAACTCCTGGTCTCAAGTGATACGCTTGCCTCAGTCTCCGGAGTGCTGGGATTGCAAGTGTAAGCCACTGCACCTGGCCAAAAATAAATAAATAAATAAATAATTTTTTTGGAAACAGGGTCTCATTCCGTTGCCCAGGCTGGAGTGCAGTAGTATTATCATGGCTCACTGCAACTTCTGCCTCCCACCTCAGCCTTCTGAGTAGCCGGGACTGCAGGCACACATCACCACACCTTTTTTGTACACATAGGGTTTAGCCGTGTTGCCCAGGCTGATCTCAAACTCCTGAGCTCAAGCAGTCCTCCCACCTCAGCCTCCCAAAGTGCTGGGATAACAGGTATGAACCCCTGCGCCCAAGCAAAATTTGTAAATTCAAGCCATATTTTCTATAGCTTTTGGTTAAATTTTGTTAGTTGTTAAGCTGAAAACTAATAGAGATGTCAGTAGGCAAACTCTGCACTGATTCTCAGCCCTTGCTCTAGAACGAAATCTCTCTATTGACGTTCTGGGCTAGACAATTTTTTTTTTTTTTTTTTTTGAGACAGGATCTGGCTCTGTCACCTTGGCTGGAGTGCAGTGATGCAATCTTGGCTCACTGCAACCTCTGCCCCCCAGCTCAAGCCATCTTCCCACATCAGCCTCCCAAGTAGCTGGGACCACAGACATGTACCACTATGCCCAGCTAATTTTTTTTTTTTTTAATTTTCTGTGGAAACAGGGTTTCACCATGTTGACCAGGCTGGTCTCCAACTCCTGAGCCCAGGCAATCTGCCCGCCTTGGCCTCCCACAGTGGTGGGATTGCAGACATGAGCCACCACACCGGGTCTGGGCTGGGCAATTCTACGTAGTGGTGGCTGTCCAGTTCATCGTGTTTAGCAACCTCCCTGAATTCTACCCATTAGATACTAGATGCTTCCCCATTTGTAACAGCCAAAAATGTCTCTAGACATTGTCAAACTTGCCTCCCCCACCCCACCCCCCGGGGTGAGAACTACTTCTCCATAGTTATTTCACAGTACTGACTGCCAGTTTGTAGAGCCTTGGTTTTAAATTGTAAATTAGGCAGCTGCTTGTGACTTAGTAGTGCTAATTTCTGTTCCAACAGCTAGTGTGATTAGCTAACCAGAGGCATACACTCTTCATCTTACCTATGTATGCTTTTTCCTTTTCCCTTTTTTTCTACATCTCTGTAGGAGATTTGGTTATGTGAATTTTAAATCTGTTGATGATCAGGAAAAAGCCCTGGAACTTAGTGATACAAAAATCCTTGGGTATGAAATTAAATTTAAGAAACCAAAGGGAAAGAAAACAAAGGTATGCAAACAAGGCAATTTGTTCAAAGGTATCGATGTATCTAGAAGATTCTGGGTCAGGCAGAAATATCACATTCTTTCTAATTTGGTGCAAGTAATCCTCAGTTTCTGATGAGCCACCTGCCTCCGTTGCACGCTGCCCTCCCTTCTGTGCTCGCGATGCACGGCCTACCTTTCTCTGTCATAACGTTCTTTCCAGGACTCAGTCCCTGGCTACTTGAAACCCATCCAGTCCCAGCTTAAATATCGCTTCCTCAGATCAGAAAACTCTTTCCTTACCCCCACACTAGGGTAAGTCTTCTCTACTAGACTTCCTCATTGCCCCTTTTACTTGTCCGTCCTGGCACACATCAAGGTGTATAATTATGTGACTATTCATTTACTTGTCTTTTCTCCAACAAAAACACATTCCTGAGAGCAGAGGCCAAGTCCATGTTTTCACAGCAAGCATGTAGCACAGGCCCTAGCCTAGAGTATGTATTCAAATATTTATTAAACGAACGAAGATGTATTGTTTCCACTTTGCAACTCTTTGAGGGGTATTTTTTCTATCGTAGGGGATTTTTAATGTTTACTAAATCTGAACTCACCAGAAATATTCTTTTGTTTTTATGTAGATCAAAATGCCAAAACACTTTTGATCAAGAACGTGTCTGGGCCGGGCGCGGTGGCTCAAGCCTGTAATCCCAGCACTTTGGGAGGCCGAGGCGGGTGGATCACGAGGTCAAGAGATCGAGACCATCCTGGTCAACACGGTGAAACCCCGTCTCTACTAAAAATACAAAAAATTAGCTGGGCATGGTGGCGCGTGCCTGTAATCCCAGCTACTCAGGAGGCTGAGGCAAGAGAATTGCCTGAACCCAGGAGGCGGAGGTTGCGGTGAGCCGAGATCGCGCCATTGCACTCCAGCCTGGGTAACATGAGTGAAACTCTGTCTCCAGCCTGGATAACAAGAGTGAAACTCCGTCTCCAGCCTGGATAACAAGAGTGAAACTCCGTCTCCAGCCTGGATAACAAGAGTGAAACTCCGTCTCAAAAAAAAAAAAGAATGTGTCTGACAGAGTCACTCAACATGAATTAAAAGAAGTGTTTCAGGATGCTTTTCAAATCAGATTAGTGAGCAAGGCTGGGATGAATAAAAGGTATGTTTTGTACCTTGTACTGAATAAGAATGTAAGTCTGCTGGATACAAACATAATGGAATTTCCTTACATTCTCTCAAATCTCTATGTCTGATTTTAGAGAAGGGAAGAGTAGTTACCCAGCTTTCTGCCAGTAGGCATAAAAAATCGAAGGAGACATCATAAAGGGACAGCCAAAACTTCTAGAAAACTGTAGTGGTGCTATAGAGATATAGAGACTTACTCTGCTACCAAGTACAGGATTGAAGATTAGAACTTATTCGTAGATTATGTACATTTATTCTTCTCTTTCCAGGGCTGACTCCACTAGAATAACATGCTAGGTAACTTGCTTGGACAGGTGCCAAAATAGAACATGGAACTGTTATGTTTATGTTGTAACCAATGAGTGAAACACTGTCCTTAGGTATCTAGGCTTTGGTAGAGTAAGAGTGAATATGGTGAAATTAGAGGGGTGGAGTATAATATGTTTTGAAGGGATTGTCATTGAGGTGGAAATTGAATATTGTTTTCTTTTTTTCCTTTTTTGAGATGGAGTTTCATTATTGTTGCCTAGGCTAGAGTGTAGTGGTGAGGGTCTCAGCTCACTGCAGCCTCCGCCTCCCGTGTTCAAACGATTCTCATGCCTCAGCCTCCCAGGTAGCTGGGATTACAGGTACCCGCTACCACATCGGCTACTTTTTTTTTGTATTTTTAATAGAGACAGTGTTTCGCCATATTGGCCAGGCTGGTCTTGAACTCCTGACCTCAGGTGATCCACCCGCCTCGGCCTCCGAAAGTGTTGGGATTACAGGCGTGAGCCATTGCACCCAGCCTGAATATTGGTTTTATAGTTACTTTTGAGCTAAATGTGTTGGTGTAGGTGAACTCTAAAATAATCTGTAGCAGTGTGTTCTGATGAAGCTAATCTCTAGAAAGGATACTACAGATCTAACAAGCCTAAGATAGAACTATATATGTTGACCTGGAAAGCTATGATAAATATAGGAAAACAAATCTCAAAGAATAAATTCCAAATTGTTAGCAGTGTTTGCCAGGAGGAGATTTGGGAGCATTCTGCTTGTTGTCTCTGGAAAACAAGCAAACACATTTCTGCCAAAAGCTATATAATTTATTAAGGTTTAATTAGGTTTTAATTAAATATTTTTATATCTTTATAATCATTTCTGTACATGGAGAATTATTGTATCACTTCTCAGCCTTTTGGCTAAGGTCAAGTGTAGTATCTGTTCTTCAATTTAATATCTGATATGTCCTAAATTAAAAGCAAAAGAAAGAATTATTGTAAAGGGGAGATAAGAGAAGCCAGAGAATCCATGGCCATGTGAAATAAAGCATAGTACCTATGCCAGAAAAGAGTGTGGTGCATTAGCTTTAAGAATCTGACTCAGGGTCGGGCGCGGTGGCTCAAGCCTGTAATCCCAGCACTTTGGGAGGCCGAGGCGGGTGGATCACGAGGTCAAGAGATCGAGACCATCCTGGTCAACATGGTGAAACCCCGCCTCTACTAAAAATACAAAAAATTAGCTGGGCATGGTGGTGGGCACCTGCAATACCAGCTACTCAGGAGGTCAAGGCAGGAGAATCATTTGAACCCAGGAGTTGTAGATTGTAGTGAGCCGAGATTGCGCCGTTGCACTTCAGCCTGGGCAACAAGAGCGAAACTCTGTGTCAAAAAAAAAGAGAGAGAGAGAGATGTTCTTTGCCAGGAATCACCGCAGTTTCCTGCTTCAACAGTGCTTGGATGGAACCCAGCGCTCGTTCCCCACCCTGGCCAGCCACCAATAGTCAGCCTTCCGTCACCTCCACACTGCGCCCTTGGACCGCCTGAAGGCCCCCGCTGCCACTCCAGCACCACGCAGCCACCGCCGCCACTGCCACAACCACCTCTCCTTACCCGCCACCATGATGACCGCGTCCCCCTTGCAGGTGCTCCAGAACTATCCCCAGGACTCAGAGAACACCATCAATTGCCAGATAACCTGGAGCTCTATGCCTCCTATGTCTACCTGTCCATGTCTTACTACTTTGACCGTGATGATGCGGCTTTGAAGAACTTTGCCAGATACTCTTCACCAATCTCATGAGGAGAGGCAACATGCTGAGAAACTGATGAAGCTGCAGAACCAATGAGGTGGCCAAATCTTCCTTCAGGATATCAGGAAACCAGACAATGATGACCGGGAGAGTGGGCTGAATGCGATGGAGTATGAATTACATTTGGAAAAAAATATGAATCAGTCACTACTGGAACTGCACAAACTGGCCACTGACAAAAATGACCCCATTTGTGTGACTTCATTGAGAGACATTACCTGAATCAGCAGGTGACATCCATCAAACAATTGGGTGACCACGTGACCAACTTGGGCAAGATGGAAGCACCCCAGTCTGACTTGGCAGAATATCTCTTTGACAAGCACTCCCTGGGAGACAATGATAACGAAAGCTAAGCCTTAGGCTGATTTCCCCATAGCCATGGGGTGACTTTCCTGGTAACCATAGCAGTGCATGCATGTTGGGGTTTCCTTTACCTTTTCTATAAGTTGTACCAAAACATCCACTTAAGTTCTTTGTACCATTCCTTCAAATAAAGAAATTTGGTACCCCCACCAAAAAAAAGAAAAAAAATTTCCTTTTAAACATAGGAAAACTACTCATCCTCATTCATAGTAAGAGGATTGCAAATGAAATCTACACTGAGATACAACTTTTTACCTCTCAGGTAGTCACAGATCAAAAGGTTTATTAACACAGTGGAAAAGAGGGTAAAAAAAACTGGCATGCTCGCCAGACGTAGTGGCTCATGCCTGTAATCCCAGTACTTTAGGAGGCTGAGGCAGGCAGATCACCTGAGGTCGAGAGTTCAATACCAACCTGACCAACACAGAGAAACCCCGTTTCTACTAAAAATACAAAAATTAGCTGGGCATGGTGGCACATGCCTGTAATCCCAGCTACTCGGGAGACTGAGGCAGAAGGATCGCTTGAACCCAGGAGGCAGAGCTTGCAGTGAGCCGCGATTGCGCTGTTGCACTCCAGCCTGAGCAACAAGAGCAAAACTCAGTCTTAAAAAAAAAAAAAAGTGGCATGCTCATACTTTGTTATTGGAAGTGAAATTGGAGAAATTTCTATGGAGATTAGGTACTTAGCTCTATCTGTTAAAGTTATAGTTGCAAATACCATTTTATCTTGCTCCTCCTAAGAATTTATAATCTCAGACAAGTGTGAAATAATGTATTGCAAAGTTGTTTGATGCAAGATTAGAATTAACCTGAATATCAAGCAACAGGTGGTTAAAATTGTCTGGCAGATCCATAAGATATTATTCTATATAGCTATAAAAAGGAGTGAAATCACATTTTGTGTAGTGATGGGAAATAATTTCCAGGATACATTATTAAGTGAAAAAAGACAGTATAGAACAGTGTGTATAGTATTCTGCCTTTTATGTAAAAATATAACGGAGAACACACTGTACACAAAAAATTACTCAACATGGATCAAAGACCTAAATGTAAAAGCTAAAACATAAAATTCTTAGAAGAAAACACAGCAATAAAACTTTGTGCACAAGTGATTAAAGAAAATTGAGAAATTGGGCTTAATCAAAATTAAAAATGGTTGTGTTTCAAACACCATTTTTAAAAAGTCAAAGAAAATCTATAGACTGGCTGGGCACAGTGGCTCACACCTGTAATCCCAGAACTTTGGGAGGTCAAGATGGGTGAATCATGAGGTCAAGAGATCGAGACCATCCTGGCCAACATGGTGAAACTCTGTCTCTACTAAAAATACAAAAATTAGCTAGGCGTGGTGGCATGCGCCTGTAGTCCCAGATGCTCAGGAGGCTGAGGCAGGAGAATCGCTTGAACCTAGGAGGCGGAGGTTGCAGTAAGCTGAGATCGTGCCATTGTCCTCCAGCCTGGCAACAGAGCAAGACTCTGTCTCAAAAAATAAAAAATAAAAATACCAAATTAGCTGGGCGTGGTGGTGTGTGCCTGTAATCTCAGCTAATTGGGAGACGGAGGCAGAAGAATCACTTGAACCTTGGAGGTGGAGGTTGCAGTGAGCCAAGATTGCCCCATTGCACTCCAGCTTGGGCAACAAGAGTGAAACTCAGTCTCAAAAAAAAAAAAAAAAAAAAGAAAAAATCTATAGACTGAAAGAAAATATTTGTAAATCATATATCCGACAAGGGACTTGTGTCCAAATATATGAAGAACTCATATTTTAATTCAATAAAAAGGCAACCCAGTTAAGAAATGGGCAAGGGATTTGAATGAACATTTCTCCAAACAAGGCACATGAATGGCCAGTAAGCACATGGAAAGATGCTCACCATTTGTTGTTAGGGAAACGTAAATCAAAACCGTGATGTGTTATACTTCACATTCATTAGAATGGCTGTAACAAAGAAGGTAAACAGTCACAAGTGTTGACAAGGATGTGGAAAAGTTGGAGCCCTCATATGTTGCTGGTGGGAATGTAAAATAATATAGTTGCTTTGGAAAAGTTGGACAGTTTCTGCAAATGTTAAACATAGAGTTGCCATATGGTCCAGCAATTCTCTTAAGTATCTACCTCAAAGAAATGAAAACACATGTTCACACTTTTCTACAAATGTTCATGTCAGCATTATTTAATAGTCAAAAAGTAGAAATGACCCCAAAATTCTATCAGTTGATGGATTGATAAAGTATGGTATGTCCTTCCATATATGACATGTCCAGGATAGCCAGATCTTTACAGACTGAACTAGAGCAGTAGTTGCTTGTGGCTGGGAGTGAGAATGGGTTGGGGGGAATGAGGAGTGACTACTGATGGGTACTTTTGGGGACAATAAAAATGTTCCAAAGTTAGTTTACAACGATGATTGTACAGTTGTGTAAATATATTAGAAACTATTGTAAACTTTAAATAGGTGAATATTATGATATGTTAATTATATCAAGCTTTTTAAGAAAAATTGTGTATGTGTATACATTTGTTTTTATATATACCTAATGTTTCCTGTATGGTAGAAATTGGGTGGCCTGGAATAGGAATATAAGGAAGACTACACCATATCCTTTGTTTGTTTTTTTCATTTTTCTACATGATCAAAACCATATCCTTTTCTACTTTTTGGATTTTGAATCTTGTATATTTCTGATTCAGAAGACAGATAACAGATTGTGGCCCTAAATGCTGACTGTTTTCTCCCTCATCTCATCCCCACAATTGCGGGATTGCATATATTGAATTCAAGTCACAAGCTGAGGCAGGGAGAGCCTTGGAAGCAAAGCAGGGAACTGAGGTTGATGGGCTTGCCATAGTTCTGGACCATATTGGAGAGAAAAGCCAGGGCCAAAAAAAATAGAGATTGAAAGAACAGCACTTGGAGAGTCTCGTGAGTGGTCCCAGAGCTCTGTGGATTGAGAGTTACCAGGGTTGTCGAAGGGGGGTCCCAAGGGAGGGGCTGGTATGAGTTTAAGGGCACTCAGCACTTTATCTTTTTTTATTATTTTGAGACAGGGTCTCACTCCCTTCACCCACACAGGAGTGTGGTGGCACAGTCACCACAGTCTCAACTTCCTGGGCTCAGGTGATCCTCCCACCTCAGCCTCCCAAGTAGTTGGGATGGGAGGGCCACTCAGCCCTTCAAAATGCAGTTTCCTCTGTATTGAAAGTGAATCATTCTCATAATTACATTAAACTGATTAATATTGTCCTAGTTAACTGTAACCCGATGTCTGCAAAAGAAATGGCCCTTTGAAATCCATCAGTTGGCCAGGCATGGTGGCTCATGCCTGTTATCCCAGCACTTTGGGAGGCCAAGGTAGGTGGATCATTTGAGCCAGGATAAGACCGGCCTGGTCAACATGGCAAAACTCTGTCTCTGCAAAAAATACAAAAATTTGCCAGGCGTGATGGTGCATGCCTGTAATCCCAGCTACTTGAGAGGCTGAGGTGGGAGGATGGCTTGAGCCTGGAAGATGGAGGTTGCAGTGAGCCGAGATCACACCACTGCACTCCAGCCTGGGCAACAGAGCTGGACCTTGTCTCAAAAAAAAAAAAAAAAAGAAACCCATCAGTTTATTTTTTCTTTTTGGTCACTCTCCTGGATTCTGTTTGAATAAGTTCTTATATCTGTGGTTTCAGAATTAGATATTTAATTCTCTTCAGATATTAATTTTCTTCAAGTAGTGTTTTTGCAGGTTTAAACCAATGACCCCAATCCAGTGCCCTGAATTTGCCTAATCTGATCAGCAGACTGTTGCTTACAGAGTAACAGACAATTGAATTTGTTATGAGTATTTCAAAAGTCAAGAAATTTCACATAAAACCCTGGGTTTCCAGCTTCTTTTGATAGAACAAAAAATCTGGCCAGGTGAGGTGGCTCACACTTGTAATACCAGTACTTTGGGAGGCTGAGGTGGGTGGATCGCTTGCACTTGATCACAAGTGCAACATGGAGAGACTCCCATCTGTACAAAAATAAAATAAAATAATTGGGGTGTGGTGGTGCGTACCTGTAGTCCCAGCTAAGTCAAGAGGCTGAGGTGGGAAGATTGCCTGAACCCGGGAGTTTGAGGCTACAGTGAGCCATGCTGGTGCCACTGCACTTCAGCCTAGGCGCCAGAGCGAGACCCTATCTATCACGAAAAAAAAAAAAAAGAAAATCTGGTGGCACGGTGGCTGCATTCCCACATGGCAGCAGTTGGCTGGCGATGAGAAGTAGCTGCTTCCTCTTAGGTGTGGCCTTTGCCCTTGTTTGCTGGTAACCCCCACAGTTCCTGAGGGAAAACAGCAGTGGTGCGGAAACTTACACTTTTAAACATAGAGTTAATACCTTTTTCTTGGAAAATAACACTTTTTTCTTATAGTAAAGATGACATGGCTGGGCACGGTGGCTCATGCCTATAATCCCAGTACTGTGGGAAGCTGAGACAGGCGGATCATGAGGTCAGGAGTTCGAGACCAGCCTGTTTAATGGTGAAACCCAGTCTCTACTAAAAATACAAAAATTAGCTGGGCTTGTTGGTTCACGCCTGTAATCCCAGCTACTTGGGAGGCTGAGGCAGAAGAATTGCTTGAACCCAGGAGGCAGAGGTTGCAGTGAGCCGAGATCACACTATTGCACTCTAGCCTGGGTGACAGAGTGAAACTTTGTCTTGGGGAAAAGAAAAGAAGATGACATTTTAATATTTCTTATGCATTTGTCTCTTTCACAAGTGCAAAGACAAAGTACAGAACAAGACAACCACACTGTTCAAGAAAAGTGAGAGAAGCCTATTTTATTTGTGGAGGTAAAGAATGTCCCTACATGTTTAATATGCAAACAAAGTCTTTCTGTGTCAAAAGAGCAAACCCTAAGACACCACTATGAAACAAACCATAGCAGGAACCATGAGGAATATACAGAAAAGATGAGTGACAAAAAAACCTAATGAACTGACAAAAAGACAGACTTCAACATGATTTGCTTTTGAATGTGAATAAAATAGGTGATGCTGCTATGAAGTATAGTTATATATATTTTTGTTGTTGTTGTTGTTGTCTGTTTTTTGTTTTTTGGGACGGAGTTTCGCTCTTGTTACCCAGGCTGGAGTGCAATGGCGCGATCTCGGCTCACCGCAACCTCCGTCTCCTGGGTTCAGGCAATTCTCCTGCCTCAGCCTCCTGAGTAGCTGGGATTACAGGCACGCGCCACCATGCCCAGCTAATTTTTTGTAGTTTTAGTAGAGACGGGGTTTCACCATGTTGACCAGGATGGTCTCGATCTCTTGACCTCGTGATCCACCCGCCTCGGCCTCCCAAAGTGCTGGGATTACAGGCTTGAGCCACCGCGCCCGGCCTGATATTTTGTATTTTTAGTAGAGATGGGGTTTCACCATGTTGACCAGGATGGTCTCGATCTCTTGATCTCGTGATCCACCCACCTCGGCCACCCAAAGTGCTGGGATTACAGGCTTGAGCCACCGTGCCCAGCCCTATAGTTATATATTAAATGAGAAAATTGCCTGGGCATCAAAACCTTTTACAGATGGGGAGTTTAAAAAGGATGTTTGTTGAGTGCAGCAGAAATTATGTGCCCTGAACAGAGACAAGCATTGGCAAATAGAAGACTACCTGGTAATGTTGTTGCTCAGCATGTTAATGATATGGCTGAAAACTTACAGGACAAGTTTCAAGAAAAAGTGAAATCATTTGTGGCTTTCTCTATTGCAACTCATGAGAGTGTTGATATAAATAATGTTCCCCAGTTGGCTGTGTTCATTCATGATGCTGATGAAACTTTTGATGTGACTGAAGAACTTTTAAATATGGTACCCATAACAGGCACAGCATCAGGAAATGACATATTTTTATGTGTTGATAAAAGTCTTAAAAAATTTAATGTAGACTGGTCAAAATTAGTAAGTGTTAGCACAGATGGTAATTCTGCAATGGTTGGTGTTAAACAACTTGTTACAAAACTGAAATCTAAGGTGGCAGGGCTTTGCAAAAGCACAGAACTTAAGTCTGTGCATGGCCTCATTCTCCAGGAATCACTTTGTGCTAAAAAGTTAAAAATGGATCATGTCATGGACATAGTAATTTGCAGCATAATCTGGATACCTTCCCATGGCTCAAACCACAGAAAGTTCAACACTTTTTTCAGTGAGTTAGACGCACAATGTCAAAACCTGTTCTACAACATGGAAGTGAAGTGGCTGAGGCGTGGTATGGTACTAAAGCAGTTTTTTGAACTGTTGGAAGAAATTGACTTTTTCGTGTCTTCTAAAGGAAAATCTGTGCCTCAGCTCACTAGCAAAAATTGGGTCAAATACTTAGCCTTTTTGATTGACATTACAGCACATCTGAATACATTGGATATTTCTCTGCAAAGGCATTCACAAGTGGTTACACAAATGTATGATTCAATTCACTCATTCCTAGCAAAACTGTGTCTTTGGGAAACTCATTTGACAAGGAACAGTCTGGCCCACTCCCTTACACTGAAATTAGTTTCTGAAAAAAAGTGATGGCCTGAACTATATTCTAAAAATTAAAGCGCTGAAGACTGAATTCCAAAAATGATTCTCTGATATCAGTTCTTTATGAAAAGGAGCTGATATTGTTCAGTTTACCTTTCTTGATTAATCATGTGAATGAAGAGCTGCAAATGGAAGTTACTGAATTGCAGTCAACACTGTACTGAAAACTAAATATGATGATGTGGGGATCCCAGAATTCTATGGATCCCTGGGGAATGGTTACCCTAAATATAAAAACCATTGTGCAAAGATTCTGTCCATGTTTGGAAGTACCTATGTTTATGAGCAGTTATTTTCTATTATGAAACTAAATAAAACTAAATTTTGGTCCCAATTAGGAAAGATGAATTCTCTGCTGCACGTGGCTATACAAGATTTACAACCTGACGTTGATTGATACCTTGGGGCATAAGAAAGGAATGTTAGCCTCTTTTTCCGGCTGGAACCATGGAGGGTGTAGAAGAGAAGAAGAAGAAGGTTCCTGTTGTGCCGGAAACCCTTAAGAAAAAGCGAAGGAATTTCGCAGAGCTGAAGATTAAGCGCCTGAGAAAGAAGTTTGCCCAAAAGATGCTTCGAAAGGCAAGGAGGAAGCTTATCTATGAAAAAGCGAAGCATTATCACAAGGAATATAGGCAGATGTACAGAACTGAAATTCGAATGGTGAGGATGGCAAGGAAAGCTGGCAACTTCTATGTACCTGCAGAACCCAAACTGGCGTTTGTCATCAGGATCAGAGGTATCAACGGTGTGAGCCCAAAGGTCCGAAAGGTGTTGCAGCTTCTTCACCTTCGTGAAATCTTCAATGGAACCTTTGTGAAGCTCAACAAGGCTTCAATTAACATGCTAAGGATTGTACAGCAGCCATATATTGCATGGGGGTATCCAAATCTGAAGTCAGTAAATGAACTAATCTACAAACGTGGTTATGGCAAAATCAAAAAGAAGCGAATTGCTTTGACAGATAACGCTGTGATTGCTCGATCTCTTGGAAAATACAGCATCATCTGCATGGAGGATCTGATTCATGAGATCTATACTGTTGGAAAACGCTTCAAAGAAGCAAATAACTTCCTGTGGCCCTTTAAATTATCTTCTCCACGGGGCGGAATGAAGAAAAAGACCACCCATTTTGTAGAAGGTGGAGATGCAGGCAGGATCAGATCAACAGGCTTATTAGAAGAATGAACTAAGGTGTCTCCCATGATTATTTTTCTAAGCTGGTCAGTTAATAAACAGTACCTGCTGTCAA